TCTACATCCTCGTGTACGTCGACGACTTGGTCTTTGCCACAGCTGACACTGCTGGACTCGCCCACGTGAAGTCCGAGCTGCAGAAGAGACACACGTGCACTGACCTGGGTGAACTGCGCAGCTACCTTGGCTTGCAGATCACCCGGGACAGAGCACGCCGCACCATTACCCTGACTCAGTCACACATGGAGCAGCAGGTCCTTCGGCGCTTCGGCTTCACGTACTCCTCCCCTCAGGCCACTCCTCTGTCTACTCGCCACTCGCTCTCAGCTCTGCCTTCGGATGAGTCCGTAGAGTCGAGTGGCCCGTACCCAGAGCTTGTTGGCTGCCTCATGTACCTGATGACCTGCACACGACCTGACCTTGCATACCCTCTTAGCATTCTTGCACGCTATGTTGCTCCTGGGAGACACGGACCAGAGCACATGGGTGCAGCGAAGAGGGTGTTGCGCTACTTGTGCAGTACGTCGGGCATGGGGCTAGTGCTTGGAGGGCGGAGTCCAGTGGTCCTTACTGGGCACGGGGACGCTTCTTGGGCAGACGACCAGGCTACGCAGCGGTCGTCACAGGGTTACACCTTCAGCCTTGGTTCCGGCTCTGTTTCGTGGCGGGCTACTCGCTCGTCTTCTGTTCTCGGCTCCAGTTGTGAGGCTGAGATCTACACCGGGGCCATGGCTGCACAGGAGCTTCGCTGGCTTACCTACCTGCTGACTGACCTCGGAGAGCCGCCTCGTTCTCCTCCGGTGCTGTACGTAGACAACAAGGCCATGCTAGCCTTGTGTCGGGAGCAGCGCTTGGAGCACAGAACGAAGCACATTGCTCTCCGCTACTTTCTTGCTCGTGAGTTGCAGCAGCGTGGTCAGTTGCGACTTGCGTACGTGGCCTTTGAGGCCAACACTGTTGATGTTTTCACCAAGGCACTTCCGCCTTGTGATCATTAGCGCTTCTGCACTCAGCTGGGTCTTGTGCCTGTCTTGCCTCACTTGCTCACCCCTTGACCTGGCTTGTACTCTTACATATATATATTGTCGAAATATGTGTCAGAATCCCAACCACTAGACCATTGGGATAAAAGGGCTTGTTTCAGTAGCGGGTCAGTGCGCCCATAACCCCCCATGCAAACGCGCCTGTAACCCCCCCTAGGATCGATCGGGGATCTCACAGTGTAGCTCTACTGACACCCCCCCACACTGGGAGGCCCAGGACTAAGCACAGCGGCAACGGCCTACATGTGCATACACCGGGAATCGAACCCGAGACCGCTCTGATACCATGTCAGAATCCCAACCACTAGACCATTGGGATAAAAGGGCTTGTTTCAGTAGCGGGTCAGTGCGCCCATAACCCCCCAGGCAAACGCGCCTGTAACCCCCCCTAGGATCGATCGGGGATCTCACAGTGTAGCTCTACTGACAATATGTTTGTCATATTTTATAACTGCTTGTAGTTGTAGTGTAGTTATTGTGCTTTGTAGGTGGTGCACCAACTTTGTTTCCTATGCTATATGTTCCTTGAAATCTATAGTGAAAACCATTCTCCCAACTTCTCTTCCAACCCTCTCGATACCTCGCCTAGGAGAAACCTACTCGACACCTAATCCCGGGCCTAGGCTCCTAAGCCTAGGCCCTACCTTTCAACTCACTCATTCCTCGTTCAATTTCTCTCGACATGTTATCGGAGCGAATTACGTCCTGGCCTGTGGGCCCGCCCTACACTTCCGCTGCTAAGATTTTCCGGTCGCGCGCCTAGGGCGCGTGACGATTTTTCCTTGTCCCGCCCCCGGTTGGCGTGTGACGCCTTTTCTGCCCGTCGCGCGCCCCGTGGCACGCGACGGTGCCCTTAACCTGCCCATCGTGCGCCCCGTGGTACACGATGGTGCCCTGCTCGTCGTGCGCCCCGAGGCACACGATCGGGCCCTTTCTCTTATCCTACCCGTCGTGCGCCCCATGGCACTGGCACGCGACGGGCCTTTCCGCCCCTGCTCTCCCTGAAGCCGCCCCTGATCCATCTGCGCCGACACCGTTTAGCCGCTCTGCGGCTTTCTTCCCGCCCACCCCCCTCCTCCTTTGTCTCCCTGCAGCCGTGGGGAGGAGGGTATGGGGGTGGCGGGTGTTGGAGTGTTGGGTCAACTCTCTCCCTTCCCCTCCTCCTTCTTTCAGTCCCACCACTGCAGCTGCCGCTGGGGGGGGAGGGTGTGAGGATGTGGGGGAGCAGGGGGAGTGGTACCGGGGTGGCGGGTGTGAGGCAACATGCAGCCGTCCCTCCACCTCTCCTCTCTTCCCCCCTTCTCTGCTGCTCCTGCAGCAGTGTGGGGGAGGGGAAGGAGGAGGGTGAGGAGATGGAGGGGGTAACTCTTCAATGTTAGCCTGCCTGCAGTACCTGCTGTTGCTTGTTATTATTTTGCATGGTGTACCCGCTCAGGGGGGTAACTACATTTCTACCTACAAGCATTATGGGGGCGTGTCGAAATATGTTTGTCATATTTTATAACTGTTTGTAGTTGTAGTGTAGTTATTGTGCTTTGTAGGTGGTGCACCAACTTTGTTTCCTATGCTATATGTTCCTTGAAACCTATAGTGAAAACCATTCTCCCAACATCTCTTCCAACCCTCTCGATACCTCGCCTAGGAGAAACCTACTCGACACCTAATCCCGGGCCTAGGCTCCTAAGCCTAGGCCCTACCTTTCAACTCACTCATTCCTGTTCATTACTTTCACATATATACCTGCTCTTGCTTGTTTAGCCTTATATATATATATATATGTGTACTCCTGCATGTGAACTGGCCTTGTGGCCTTGACCTTGTGCTCGGACTGTGTGGTGACGTTGTGATCCACCCTGGGCTTTGTCTGCTTTGCCTGGCTGGTCTTGTGACCCCTTGTTCTCCCCCACCTTGCCTATGGGGGTGTGTCAAATTATAATGTTGTGTAGGCTATATTGGGGTAGCCCATATGGGGTACACATTTCTAGGGTTGCATATTTGTATCACTTCCATTCCTTAGTCATCCATTCTCGTTCACATCTTCTCACTTTTAACTCTAACTGCTCTCATACCATCTTGGGCTGAAAAGCCCTAGGATCTTTGTAGAGTTAAAGTCTGAGTAAGTGATGTAATAGCGGAAGTGTTGAATAAAGTCATTGAACCACCTTGCGCTAGTATGTGAGGGCAAAGTAAGTTGATTAAAGAAAAGGGATAGAGGAATAAATATATGAGTACAAAGAATATGAAGAGACATTATGACTACTTTACTGTTGCGGTTCGATACAGTGCGACTCGGGCAACTGCTCAATGTCGAGTCAGTTGTGTGGTCTTGCTGTCGCGCTGCGTCAGGTCAAAGGTCGCTGACCTTTGACTTTCTCGTAACCTCCAGCGGTTACGTTAACTTCCGAGGGTTGACTCGCGATGCTTCGATTTGAGCTGCTTCGCTTGTGTCTTGAGTTCTGACACGACAGAGGCGCTTAAACTATTTGTTCCCAACAAAATTTATATCCTAGTGTTCCTCGTAGACTGGCGATTCTCAAGAGTTGCTTATTGGCGCTTGTAACACTCTGGAGCACCGACATTGAGAGCTCCGAAGACCCTGGTGGCAGCCATGGCGGCCTTGGTAGTTGCGTCATTGTGAGCTGTGAGGTCGTCTCGTCTCGTCTCCCTCTTGTACTACTGTATGGCCCCAACATAATATTTTGTGCTTGGGAATTTCATTTCTGCTTTCACACAAGTTACTCAACTGTTGTTGCTGGTAAGGGAATTTCAGCAAAAATATACCCTCAAGATTGTTTCGATGCTTGCAATAGATGCCAGCCTGGCGAGTCCCGAACCGCGTCGCGGCTCACCTGAATACAGTACCCCCTGTCGACCTGTATGCATTTCGCAACACGTCTCGCTCAGTGCGGGTCCAACTTTGCACACTCCCGTTATTTTCGTATTTTTACGTAAATGCACCAGTCAAACTTGACTGTACACCAGGGCGAACCCCAAACGTTTCATGTCCAGATTCGAGTGTACGATTCGGACTTTGACGAGGTACAGTAACGCTGCGGGGTACAGTATCTTGGGCGAGTTGTTACCCAATCACGCGAGTTTCTTCGCACCTATGACGGAGCTAGGATTCGTTAACGAAAGCAACTTGGCGAAAACTAGTGTTACCTCCTAACGTGTTTGACACGAAACGAGTTTGAAGTGAACCTTCGGACGGGTTCTGCACGTCCCCGGGCACGTTTCTAAAATGTCATCAGAAATGTACAGTCTGGCGTCAAATGGTTTCAGGTGCGTTTGTAGTTCTGTTACTGCCCAAATGTGGTAACTGAGCTGAATTTTTTACATGTGCAGAGTTGGACCCGCCCCCAGTGTCGCGCCCTTCCAAAGGCGGGTTTGCGGGAAATCCAGGGTGCCCTCTGGGGCGGCGGCGAACATCTGGCACATTGTACGCCGCAGAAAACAAAACCCCTGGCCGCACCAAGCACACTCCACCCTTCCGAACCCAACAGCATGTTTCAAGTACTGATGCCAGCTCAGCGAGCCCCCAGAATCGTAGTACACAACGCTCAACATCCCACCCACCTGAACCCCCTGCTGGCCCTCCGCTCCCCCTCCATGCCCACCTGCATCCGCAACATACCTGTCGCGCAAATACCGCGCGCATTGCCGAATGAAGCTGCGACATATGCGCAGGGTGCCATGGAAGGGCCGCAAATCTCTCCCCTGACCGCATTGATCTAGGCGGGAATAATTCTGCGCTTCGGCGAATTAACGAGGCTATAAATACTCATCTGATTGGCTGCGAACTCCATCACCATCGACAGCCCTTTTCGTCACAATGCGACGTGCTCCCAAACTCAATTTCATCACCACGGGTAGTGCGAGACATTCCGTCCAACCATAAATTCCCACGTTCGCACTCCGATTGATCACACATTCGATTCCTCACTTGGCTTTGCAACGCTGAAAGTCACTCATACGATCACTCACGGCAGTTAGAAGATACATTCAATTCGCGCCATGGCGTCGTGGCAGCTTTCCGTTCTCGCCCTCTGCACGCTCGCGTCACTGCTGGCGCCTGCTGCGGCGCGGCCTACCAAGGAGGAGTTCATCGACGAATTAAAGCAGACCCGCGACGCGCTTGCGGACCCCAAGCTGAACGGCCGATATCACGCCACCCACACGCTCCTTGACCACGTCATCCCTCAATTGGGTAAATCCTGCTGCATTTCCTGCAAGTTATGCACGCCGTTGTTGTTTCGTTCTCTGGTACTAAATTTCGTAGCGTCCTTTGGCTTGACACTGCTTCTGTTTTCTTCGTGATGATGCAGAGACGGACTGGAACCCGAATGAGGATTTCCTCAACAAGGTGGACCACAAAACTATGCTGCTGCCGGAGGACGGCGTCATTGCTTCCAAGGCCCCGGACGCGCTCGCCATGATGGTGAAAACCGGCATGAGGCGCGGCGAAGTCGACCCCTACACCAAGCTCTTTCGCGCGCAGATGCTGGACGGCGTGTACGAGGAGGACGACCTCGCGAAGGCATCAAATCTGAAGAACGTGAATGGCGGCAGCGTGGGTACGGATCAGATTGTGGACGCGACGACTAAATCGAAGAAGGTGGCGATTGGAAAGGGCAAGGCTAAGATTAAGCATGCTGGGATTTTCAGGGGGAAGTTTCTTACCATCCATGGCGTCGACGCGTCGCAGCCGGAAGAGTAATCAAGTTCGTCTGCTGTTCTTCTTGGGGTAATAATCATGGATTCTTTTTCTTGCAACCACGTCAAGAGATGGCAGATAGGCCAAGTGGTGTAGCATTTTTCTTTTGCTCCAACTTTCTGTAATCTAGCGGGTTTGGCTCAAATGTTGTTGTATGAATTTCCCCAAGGCTGAAGAAGTGTGTTTGTATTGCGGCACATTGCAATAGAATGAAGTGACACATGTGGCATCGTCCTCATCACAATCACAATTCATCACGATGCATGACGTCCCCACAGCACAATTCCTCCTGAAATCTCTGAGTGCTTAACTAAGTTCATGGGCCAGACAACCCCGCTGATGGGGACGAGAAAGTACTTCAGAACACAATTCAAAACTTCCTTCCAGCTTAATTACTGCTGGAGCCTCTGGGGCATGGCTGTAGAAGTGCACTTTATCCAGTTGCACACAGACCAGGTCATGTCTGTCATGTCCCTATGTTCATGTGAGACGTCAATAGGAAGGTGGCCTAAGTCACCACAGACCTTCCTTCCGTGTGTGCAGGTTGAGTGGGCGGCAGGGCTTGGGAGGGTGTGGCAGTGGGCGGGGTGAGGAGTGGTGCAGGCGGGGATGAGTGAGCGGATGCAGGGGCACACAGCATACAGCACCTGGGCACACAGCATGCAGCACCTGGGCACACAGCATGCAGCACCTGGGCACACAGCATGCAGCACCTGGGCACACACCATGCAGCACCTGGGCACACAGCATGCAGCACCTGGGCACACAGCATGCAGCACCTGGGCACACACCATGCAGCACCTGGGCACACACCATGCAGCACCTGGGCACACAGCATGCAGCACCTGGGCACACACCATGCAGCACCTGGGCACACAGCATGCAGCACCTGGGCACACAGCATGCAGCACCTGGGCACACACCATGCAGGATCTGGGCACACACCATGCAGCACCTGGGCACACAGCATGCAGCACCTGGGCACACACCATGCAGCACCTGGGCACACACCATGCAGCACCTGGGCACACACCATGCAGAACCTGGGCACACAGCATGCAGCACCTGGGCACACAGCATGCAGCACCTGGGCACACACCATGCAGCACCTGGGCACACACCATGCAGCACCTGGGCACACACCATGCAGCACCTGGGCACACACCATGCAGCACCTGGGCACACACCATGCAGCTCCTGGGCACACACCATGCAGCACCTGGGCACACAGCATGCAGCACCTGGGCACACACCATGCAGCACCTGGGCACACACCATGCAGCACCTGGGCACACAGCATGCAGCACCTGGGCACACACCATGCAGCACCTGGGCACACAGCATGCAGCACCTGGACACACACCATGCAGCACCTGGGCACACACCATGCAGCACCTGGGCACACACCATGCAGCACCTGGGCACACACCATGCAGCACCTGGGCACACACCATGCAGCACCTGGGCACACAGCATGCAGCACCTGGGCACACAGCATGCAGCACCTGGGCACACAGCATGCAGCACCTGGGCACACACCATGGAGCACCTGGGCACACACCATGCAGCACCTGGGCACACACCATGCAGCACCTGGGCACACACCATGCAGCACCTGGGCACACACCATGCAGCACCTGGGCACACAGCATGCAGCACCTGGGCACACACCATGCAGCACCTGGGCACACACCATGCAGCACCTGAGCACACAGCATGCAGCACCTGTGCACACACCATGCAGCACCTGGGCACACAGCATGCAGCACCTGGGCACACAGCATGCAGCACCTGGGCACACACCATGCAGGATCTGGGCACACACCATGCAGCACCTGGGCACACAGCATGCAGCACCTGGGCACACACCATGCAGCACCTGGGCACACACCATGCAGCACCTGGGCACACACCATGCAGAACCTGGGCACACAGCATGCAGCACCTGGGCACACAGCATGCAGCACCTGGGCACACACCATGCAGCACCTGGGCACACACCATGCAGCACCTGGGCACACACCATGCAGCACCTGGGCACACACCATGCAGCACCTGGGCACACACCATGCAGCTCCTGGGCACACACCATGCAGCACCTGGGCACACAGCATGCAGCACCTGGGCACACACCATGCAGCACCTGGGCACACACCATGCAGCACCTGGGCACACAGCATGCAGCACCTGGGCACACAGCATGCAGCACCTGGGCACACAGCATGCAGCACCTGGGCACACAGCATGCAGCACCTGGGCACAGTGGGTGAGTGAGGGTGCATGGGAAGGAGAAACCTGTTGTGTCAGAACAGCATGCCTGGAGGCCATGCCTGTTGAGTAGAAAAAGGGTCTTTGACCCTTTTCCCAGCTTGTCCACTACAGAGCAACTTGCCCACTACACTTAGCTGAAAGTGTTACGGAGACCCACGGTTTGCTGCAGTTCACAACACTTTCTACTCTGCAAGAGGCTACCTCTGCTACATTTATGGGTGCATGGGAAGGATACACCTGTTGTGTCACGACAACAGGCCTGGGGGCCATGCCTGTTTCCTGGGAGACATGCCCGTGCTTTCCCCTGCTGCCATGCCTGCTGTTGCTACTCCTGCAGTCTCCTCCTCATGTGCTGCCAGCCTGACTCTGCCCCACCCAGCAGAGCAATGGGAATGATAAACCTGCTGATGCCCTCACAGGGACACACGTTGAAAGGAAAAGTGTGCTTATTTGACCAATCACACTCGTCCTGTTTTCGCCCTCCTGCGTGTCAGTGTGATCTGAGGGCGCGGAGCAGCAAGCCCGTTGATGCAGCTCTCTCATTCTCTCGCACCTCAACCACATGTTTCCCCACTTCGTCCCATGCCTGGAGCCACAAAACAAGTGGCACAGTGAGCCTTCCCAATTGCCACTTCTCGTTTCCCCCTTCCTCCCCACCCCAACCCCTTTCTCCTTCCAACATGTGTCCCTGTGAGGGCATCAGTATGACATGCATGGGAAGGAAAAACCTGCTGTGTATGATCACACGAGAGCAATGCATGTGCCTTCCCCTGCCATGCCTGTGATTTCACCTGCCACGCCTGCTACTCTTGCATTCTCCTCCCCATGTGCTCCCTGCGCTGGCTCTGCCCCAACCAGCAGCCCTACTGCTGTCTGAAGCGCTGCTGTCTGGAGCACTGCTGCCTGAAGCACTGCTGTGTGAAGAACTGGTGTCTGAAGCACTGCTGTGTGAAGCACTGCTGTCTGAAGCACTGCTGTCTGAAGCACTGCTGTCTGAAGCACTGCTGTCTGAAGCACTGCTGTCTGAAGCACTGCTCTTGGAAGCACTGCTGTCTGAAGCACTGCTGTCTGAAGCACTGCTGTCTGAAGCACTGCTGTCTGAAGCACTGCTGTCTGAAGCACTGCTGTCTTGAGCACTGCTCTCTGAAGCACTGCTGTCTGAAGCACTGCTGTCTGAAGCACTGCTGTTTGAAGCACTGCTGTCTGAAGCACTGCTGTCTGAAGCACTGCTGTCCGAAGAGCTGCTGTCTGGAGCACTGCTGTCTGAAGCACTGCTGTCTGAAGCACTGCTGTCTGAAGCACTGCTGTCTGAAGCACTGTTGTCTGAAGCACTGCTGTATGAAGCACTGCTGTATGAAGCACTGCTGTCTGAAGCACTGCTGTCTGAAGCACTGTTGTCTGAAGCACTGCTGTCTGAAGCACTGCTGTGTAAAGCACTGCTGTGTGAAGCACTGCTGTCTGAAGCACTGCTGTCTGAAGCACTGCTGTCTGAAGCACTGCTCTCTGAAGCACTGCTGTCTGAAGCACTGCTGTTTAAAGCACTGCTGTTTGAAGCACTGCTATCTGAAGCACTACTGTCTGAAGCACTGCTGTCTGAAGCACTGCTGTCTGAAGCACTGCTGTCTGAAGCACTGCTGTCTGAAGCACTGCTGTCTGAATCACTGCTGTCTGAAGCACTGCTGTCTGAAGCATTGCTGTTTGAAGCACTGCTGTCTGAAGCACTGCTGTCTGAAGCAATGCTCTCTGGAGCACTGTTGTCTGAAGCACTGCTGTCTGGAGCATTGCTGTCTGAAGCACTGCTGTCTGCAGCGCTGCTATTGCTGCCTCGTGTCTTGCCGCACCCTGTTTGCACTGCACCCTGGCTCCCCTGTGGGAGCTGCAGCAGGCAGCTCACATCTGAAAAAACGCGTCGATCAATACGCGGTCAACAAATCTCCTGGTAGAGTTGGTACTGAGTGACGAATGAGGGGGAAGAACTGGGAGGGATGAGGGGGTGAGGAATGATGAGTCTGTGAGAGGAAATGTGCCAAATGCTGCAGGCTGGATTCTCAAACACATCTCTCCACACACCCACGCTCGCACACACGCACGTGCCATACCATTTTTAGGTTCAGCGGTTGGCGAGGGTTCGGTTGGAGGAGATTGGGGCTGGGAAGAAAGGTTGGCAGAGGGGTAGAGAACGGGGTGGGTTGAGAACGGTTAAAAGGCGCATTTGTTAGAGACATTAGAGCAGCGGAGAAACGGGTTGAGTGGGAAGGGGAGAGGCGCCTAATGAGAGCGTGGGGAAAGAAGGAGAGAGCGGGGTAAGGGAGTGAGGGAAAGGTGGGAAATAGGGAAAGGAAAACAAGCACCACATGCCACACACGCACCACATGCCACACACGCACCACATGCCACACATGCACCACATGCCACACACGCACCACATGCCACACACGCACCACATGCCACACATGCACCACATGCCACACACGCACCACATGCCACACACGCACCACATGCCACACATGCACCACATGCCACACATGCACCACATGCCACACACGCACCACATGCCACACACACACGCCATGCATGCCTTGGTGAGGCAGTCCAACCATTGAGCACCCTCACAAACTCACAAAGTGGAATGGCGGAGGAAAGGGTTAGAGGAGTCTAATCAAAGCGTGGGAATAGCAGGAGAGAACGGGGTAAGGGAGTGACGGAAAGGTAGGAACGTAGCAAAGGGTAAACGAGCATGTCGCACATGCCTCACACGCCATACATACCACACATGCCACACATGGCACACATGGCACACATGCTGCACATGCCATACATCCCATACATGCCTTGGTGAGGCAGTCCAACTGGTGAGTACCCATCCTCTCCTCCCTCCTTCTTCCCTCTCTCTTCCCCCCTCCCTCCTCCGCTCTCCCCACTCCCCCCAACAACCCCCTCCCCCCCCCCCCACCCACCCACCCACCCACCATAACTACGTGCTTGAGCGCATGACATCGCAGCGCAGCGTGAGGGAGTGCCTAGGGAGCAGCACGCTGAGACGGCGCGTGAGGGAGCACCACTCGTCCCTTGCTGCCACTGCCGCTCGCTCAGCACGGGGGATAGTAGTTGAACCCATCAGCACTGGAATGAACGGGTGGAGGAAAACAAGTGGGTCATGCAGGCAGTGAAGGAAAGGCTAGTTGAGACAGTTACCACATAAATATGTGAACAACAGCGGATATTGCACGGCTGCTGATTGAAATTCACCTGCAAAACTCTCAACGGCCTTCTCACCTCTTCTCACACCTTCACATCCTTCCTCACCACCTCACCCGCTGGCCCAGGAAGAACACTCGGAGGTGGTCTGGCCGTTCAGCAGGCGCATGTTCATTGCCAATGGGTCGCAGCACCCCCAACCCAACACGCCACCATTTCAACACACGATGGCCTTTAGGGTGAGCAGGTGAGAGTGAGGGAGTGATGGAGGACGGATCACCGCTCGCCCATCATTATCCCCGCCGCTCATCACGTGGGAACCAGCTCCACGCACCGATCGCTGCCAGCACCACACACCCATCGCTCGCACTCATCACTTTGCCCGCGCGCACGTGCTTGGGGTGCCGCAGCGCGAGAGGACAGGAGGGGGTGGGGTGGGGAGAGGAAGCGAAATTCGTGGGATGGGGTTAAGAGTGAAGGAGCGAGTGATGAAAGATTACGACGTACCACCTGTCGCTGCCAGCACCACGCATCTGTCGCTGCCAGCACCACACACCTGACGCGAACGTGTTTTGCCGCTCACCTCCGCTCGCGCACACGCGCTTGGAGCTATTCCTCGTGCGCAAGTCAAATGTGGCTCCAACGCACTCGTCTCTTCCACCACGGCCGCTGCAGCTGCGAGCGACACGTTGGGCGTCTTCAGCGGCGGAGGATCGCGTCGGATTCAGCGCTCGTGACCTGGAAGGTGGCAAGGGGAGTTGCGGATAAATGACGTGTTGAAATGAATGAACAGGAATGGATGAACTAACAGTGAAAACAATACAAGTACCTAACCCTAGAATTGTGTACCCCCTATAGGCTAACCCACTGTAGCCTAAACAAGCTGAACATATATAATGTTTGACACACCCCCATAGGCGAAGTGGGGAGAACTGGGGGTCACAAGACCAGTCAAGGCAAAGCGAGGCAAAACAAGCCCAGGGTGGATCTCAAGGATACCACACAAATTCCGAGCACAAGCAAGTGGTCACAAGACCAGTTCACATGCAGGTTTATAATAGAACAAGAGGTACAATGATTACAACCTAGCAAGAGTAAACATGCAGGTATATATATATAGATCACAGTACAAACAAACTCAAGAAGTAAGCAAGTGAGGTCCAGTAGGCACAAGGCCTAGAAGAGTGCAAAAGCGCTGATGGTCACAAGGCTGAAGCGCCTTGGTGAACACATCAGCAGTGTTGGCCTCAGAGGCCACGTAACGCAGACGAAGCTGACCACGCTGCTGCAGCTCTCGAGCAAGGAAGTAGCGCTGAGCAATGTGCTTCGTTCTGTGCTCCAGTCTGTGCTCCTGACACAAGGCAATGGCTGCCTTGTTGTCGACGTACAGCACTGGAGGAGAACGAGGCCGCTCTCCAAGGTCGGTCAGCAAGTAGGTGAGCCAGCGTAGCTCCTGGGCCGCCATGGCTGTGGCGTAGATCTCAGCCTCACAACTGGAGCTGAGAACAGAAGAAGAGCGAGTAGAACGCCAAGAAATAGAACCAGAGCCAAGACTGAAGGTGTAACCCTGAGACAACCGCTGAGTAGCCTGGTCGTCTGCCCAAAAAGCGTCTGAGTGCCCAGTGAGAACAACTGGGACTCGCCCTCCAAGCACTAGCCCCATGCCCGACGTACTGCACAAGTAGCGCAACACCCTCTTAGCTGCATCCATGTGCTCCTTCCGGTGACGGCCGGGAGCGACATAGCGTGCAAGAATGCTAAGAGGGTATGCAAGGTCATGTCGAGTGCAGGTCATCAGGTACATGAGGCAACCCACAAGCTCTGGATACGGGCCACTCGGCTCTACGGACTCATCCGAAGGCAGAGCTGAGAGCGAGTGACCGGTAGGCAGAGGAGTGGGCTGAGGCGAGGAGTACGTGAAGCGGAAGAGCTGAAGGACCTGCTGCAGTGCCGTAGTGTCAGCAGAACCCGAAGAGTGGTCATCTTCGGGGTCGGGGAGAAGGTCTGGAAGAAGTCAACTCCCTCTCGGTGACTGAAGCCTCGTGCAATGTAACGCGCCTTGAAGACAGGCGGAGAGCCTGGCGGCCGCTTCACCCTGAAAATCCACATGCCACTGACGATGTTCGCTCCAGGCGGGGGAACCTCGTCAACGTAGGTGCCTGTGGACTTCCAGGAAGCCATCTCTGTGTCCATAGCTGACTGCCACTGAGAGGAGTAGGGACCGGCCATCGCCTCTGCGTAAGAGCGTGGGGTCGGGATGTCTGGTGCATCCGAGTCTCCCTCAGGGGCAACAAGCATGGACACGAGATGGGGCAAAGCGGCAGCAAAGCACTCAAACTCCTCCTGCCTGTCCTCAAGGACGTCAGTGCCAAGAGCACACTCACCCCCGACGAACGGAGGACAGACAGACTCAGACTCAGCAAGTAGGCTAGCGGCGTAGTCTAGACGACAGGTGGCAGCAATGTCGACAAGCTCAGCAACTAAGGCAGACGCAGCAGCAGACTCAAAGGAAGGGTCAGTGACAATAGTAGCCAGGAGACGCGTGACAGTAGGACTGGCAGCACAAAGGGAGTCTGACCCCGGGTCAGTAAGAGCAGGAAGAGAGGACGCAGGAGGAGACGGCAGTGGGACACGCTGTGGAGCAGTGGAGGGACGAAGCGCCATCCGGAGAGTGCCTGGGATAGCAGGAAGAAGCTAACGCGGGACACGACAACCAGTGAGAGCTGCACGGACAGGCGACGCACGACGAGACTCAGGCGACGCAGGACGAGACTCAGGCTCACGACGCTCAGTAAGACCTCCAGTCGGACCAGTGTAAGGAGTAGGACCAGGGAGAGAGGAGGTAGACGGTAGCTGCGACTGCAGCTGGACAGCCGGAGGACACCCTAAGGAGGGAGGAGGACAAGGAGGAGGGAGCTGACCAAGAACCTGCTGAAGGAGCGGAATGAAGTACGGCCGCGACCGTGCAGTGACTCCAGAACCAGGATCCTCAGCAACAGCAGCAGCTCCAACTCCCGGGTCCTCAGCACCTGCCGCAGCCCCAACGCCCGGGTCCGCAGCACCAGCAGCAGCACCAACGTCCGGGTCCTCAGCACCAGCCGCAGCTCCAACGCCCGGGTCCTCAGCACCAGCAGCAGCACCAGTGTCCGGGTCCTCAGCACCAGCCGCAGCTCCAACGCCCGGGTCCTCAGCACCAGCAGCAGCACCAGCGTCCGGGTGCTCAGCACCAGCCGCAGCTCCAACGCCTGGGTCCTCAGCACCAGCAGCAGCTCCAACGCCCGTGTCCGCAGCACCACCAGCAGCACCAGCAGCAGCGGGGTCCGCGACACGAGGCGCACCACTCCGAAGAGTGCAGCGCCGCTCGTACCACTCACGGATCCACTCACGGGAGGGGAGCTCCCAACTAGGAGGGGAAGCACTAGCACCAGTCCCAGTAGTACGCCTGGCTCCAGAGGTACCTCTCCTGAGGCTGCAGTACTGTAAGTACCACTCACGCTGCTGCTCCGAGGAGAGGGCTCCTCCAGGTGTAAGACTACGAGGCTCAGCACCACCAGACTCAGAACCCCCAGACTCCGGACTCTGCA